AAACAAGTCCTAAATGAAAAAAAAAAAAAAATTAAAAAACCACACTCCAAAACCAACAAGGAGCATATAATCTAGATCTAGAATCTTATGGCTTACATCTAGATCTACATTGCTATAGTGTTTGATACAATAACACAAGGCTCGATAACACAATAGAATTGGAATAAGAATCCTCCATATATAGATATCTAGTAATCTAAATAAATCTAGATCTAGATCTAGATCTTGTAGAACAAGTGAATAGGAATAGGCATTGAACTAGATCTAGATCTAGAAATCCGCATCCGATTCCGAACAAAGGGACTCAGCTGAGTCTAGATTCTAGATCTAGATCTAGATATATAGATCTAAATAAATAAATAATTCACGCACCTGATGAAATGCTTATTTTTTTTACCAATATTAATATTACAGCACAACCTATGATAGGGTTTGACAAAATAGAATTGGAATATGAATCCTCCATTGAGGTCTATAATGATCTATATAATTCTATTAGAACAAGAGAGTCGGACTTGAATGAATACACACGATCTGAACAATTGAATTAGTCAACAAACGAAATTCAAAATGGCCGCTCGAGCACGAAACTGAAACTAGATAATTTAGGTCGTCGTCCTTTTCGTATTCGCATTTCTACTTAGGTTCCGACAATTATGTCGGAAACGCAGACGTCGGCAGTCGGCACGAAAACGAAAGTGGCGACTAAGCCGACGATACAGGTGGGCCTAGCGATAGCATCGGCCGGTTCGCGGGTCGGGTCGCGATTGTCGGATTTCAGACGATTGTCGGCAAACATGCAGGTCTAATATTAAATTTCCTACTACAGAATCTTAGACAGTCTTGAGATATTATAAGTCAGTGCAGCAAGTCCTCCACGACCACACCAGCATTTCGCTAAAGACGTACACTGAAAAGAAGTAGACAGCCCAGAGCTCACCATAGTACCCACTATCTACCACTTTAACATCCACTAGTGTGGTACCTTGTTGTACTATGCTTGGGTTTTAGGGTGTAGGTCTAAACACACCAGACAAAAAAGAACTAATAGCCCCCCCAGCTAATATGCATGGTTCAGGATAAATGCACCAAAAACAGAAGAATATTAAAGTAGCCGACCATATAAATTCGAAGTCCATCTTCCAAAGAACTGCAATATATAGGAAAGAAAAAGGTGAATTTAACATGTCTTGACATCTTTTAATTTTCTTTTCGAGGTCTAATAAGCTACTAAACACTAAACACAGATAGGTCACACATCAAAGCAGCATGTACCCTAGCAGCGCTGAAAAGAAAGCAGAAGGGGAGAAAGAAGATAGTACACTGTACACTAAAAAAAATACCACTCTTATACATCTGAGCTTATAAACATTCATTATGGATCAATAAGGTTACCCCCCCCCCCCTCAAGCCACTTCTGATGTTGTTAGCGATCCAGAGGCCTCTTCTGATCAAAGACATATGAAGAGAAGATATACTCTGAATAAGCCATATTTCCGGTATTAAACAAAAACATTATGCATATCGAGACAACATTTTTTGCGTACTATGACAAAAGAAAAGTGGACAATGTTTCGTTCACATAATCAAATTACAACTTCAATCTCTTGGCCTGTGCATCAAATCTAAAACTTCTCTAATCATGCTGCCTCAGTGCCACAGTGCTGCACAATGGGTGTACCCTGATTTTCAAATTCATAATGCAGAAGCACACAAAACATGAAATATAGTTTGACACTGCAGAAGCATTGAAAAAATACAAAAATAAACTGAGGACAACACAACACATACACCGCACTCTTTCCAGCTACTCACCTACGAGTGCTAATATTACTGTTAACAACGGTGCAGCAGGGAATGCTATAGCTATGTTCATATCAAACATCTGGAGCAAATCCACTGGAATAGAGGGAGAGAAAAGGAAAAACATTTCAAAGGCAAATGACAGTCCACCCTCGAGAAGATTAACAGTGATATTTGTGCTGTAAATGTATTCTAAAATTATTTTTTTTTTGGTTAGGACAAATCCCACAGCTTACTTTTCTTTCTCAAACAACCAGGTAAAAGTAATGAATTTCGAGTTTAAAAAACATTTTTTTTTTTATATGAGGTGAGCACTGGTGAATTAAAGGTAAATCCTCATATTCTAGTCACATAATTGTGTATTCTTCACATCCTAACCTGATCTGGTCAGAACTAAATTTAGTTTATGAAGAATCTGTTTACTAGGCTAAAATGTTTCTCAGTTGTCTTTTGCAAACAGGACCAACAACACCCTACAACACCCTAAGTACCTCTAGAAACAATATCTTCCTGATTTATTATACTAAGTACTGCCCTAATAAGCAAAGATAAAACATCCTCAAAGCTAAATATGTTTATGAGAGAAACAGAATTTCCTACCCCTCCCCCCTCAACCCCCCCCCCCCAACAAATTACAATTCTCTTTTTTAACTAACAAACGGGTGGTATTATTTTGGGAGGTGTTTTTAATCTTTATGACAAATCAAACTGACATAAAGCTAGAGCATTCAAGGCATTCAAACAAACTTGCATGTAAAATACACTATTTAATTAACTTTTACGACACTTAATCTTACATTCCAAATTCTGTACAAGATGCACTGAATACATGAAACAAAAACTTATCAGCCTCATGTTTTTAAATATTTCTTCTTGAACTAATGCTGTGCTATCAAACTATTGAATATTCTGAAAAGGCAGAAGAAATACTATAAAAACTTGATCTACTCACTGATGAAGACAAATATCTGGTGATGAGAGTATCGCAGAAGAGTAGAAACTGACACCGTCTGAAAAAGAAAAAAAAAAATCAAATTTTCAATCACAATTAGAATAAAAATTAAATCAATTAGGTCTTTTTTTGGACAAATTTGAGAAACTTGGCAGACTTTATATATAAATATCAGGGTTTTTAAAAAAGTTAATACAGTTAGCACAGGTCAAATAAAAGTCAGTCCCATTTCACTAAAGTTAAATCACAATTTCATTTATCAGAGACCAGATTCGGACAATGCAAGCGCATAAAAGAAGTAAAAGCAGACCACGCAAGAGTGCCTACTCACCATCGCTAGATGCAGAAAACCAAGATTTAACATTAATGTTGATTTTTTTTAAAACAAGACAAACATGGTATAAAAATAATGACAGTATTTTTTTTATCAAATGATGAGCAGGATATGGATGCAGGATAAAAAAGAAGACTTAGTTTGAACTTCAGGGCAACCATTTACTTGAGACACTCTTAAATATATATCTTGCACTCCCTCCTCACTTACAAATATAAGCATTATAAAGGCAGCAGCCACGTAGGAGCTTCGGGCCATCCACATGCTGATAAATCGGAAATGCTCTCCGGTCACAACATTGCGCAGGTAACCTGGGGGGGGGGGGGGGGGAGACATACAATGTATTTTCAGTCATTTGTTAGACGTTATAAGTTAAAAGAGAACAAATGAAGAATTCAAAATCGTTCATCATTACAACAGCAGCAATATCTGAACAATAATAAACAGTTTTTATCATTGTCATGTAGACTTCAAATCTCCATGTACAATACACATGGAGAAAGGAGGTTAGATATAACAATGAAGACAGCAATTACAAAATAATCTTCCACTTTACATGGATGGCTGGTATCCTCTCACACTGACACTGTGGATCTGTGAAGCCTTTACATTATGATACCAGGCCTTAAATCAAACACCTTTCACAAGAAAAATAAAACATTATATGCATTCAATGAGAGTCACAATGTTGAAATTAGCTGCTCACCTTTGTTATTTTCCCTTTCTGCCAGCTTTTTTATACTTGACATTAGAATATCATCATAACCAAGAAATTCATCCAGCAAAAACCGGCTGAAGCCATCACCAAAGCACTCCTCCTTGTCTGGATCTGAAGGGTAAAAGATAATTATCTACCTTGTAAACAATTTTGTTAAATATAATTAGAGGAGCAAATGAAGCAGTATAGAACTTTTCTCGTGAAATAAAGTCAGTCTTGTGAAAAAAAGCTTTGCTTAAAACAAAAACAAATAAAAACAAAGCTTTCCATATATTCATGTTGCGTTTACCATTGTGGAAGCTTTTCAAATCGTAACATGCTTACATTGCAGGTACACATTTCATTTTGTCGAAAATAGTAGATTATATAGTATGTTGTATACATGACACTCAGTTTCAATGATCAATCACAATTTCTCTTAAACTGGAAAGTAAACGTCTTCTACACTGATAAAAATAAGATAACCTATGAAGAAAGAGTCAACTTGCCAATATTGTGAAGTAATAATTCTATGGGCCAAGCTCACCTAATGTGACCAACATGACAGTTATATTCAGTTTCTTCCTTGTCTTTGGTAGAAGCCGCAGCAAGCCATACTCCAGGGAATATTCAACAATGAATTTTTCTTCTGGCCACACTGAAACTGATCAAATTTTAATTTCTCATTACATTATAACGAATAGGTATTAAATATTTATACCCCCCCCTCCCCTTAAACACGATACCTTTGATCTATCTCTAGGCAGCCATTGTTACTCATTGTAAAAATTCTTGCTACCAAGTTCAATATTCCCACAACAATGCACCACATCAATCACTTTTCACTCTAAAGCCAAAAAACTTGTACAGGACAATTTTTTTTAAAAATGTGAAACTTGTGAGTTAGAACCACATCACTGCCAATAGCTGAAAATGAGCTATATGAATTTCTAACTCTACTTAGTCCCCACTCAATAGAAATGCAGCAACTAAAATTACCTTCTTCATTTTGAGAAAGACAAATAAGATTTAGAGTAAAAATTCAGCTCACTTCAACTTTTTCAAAAGACAAAATCTTAATCGAAGCTTTTTTTTGCATATTAAAACAATCACAAAATAGCACGTCTCAGTGAAATCTTTTGGTACATAAACTTAGAAAAGATGAAATACTATAAATTTGAATTAGAATACCCCAGCTTGGCATTTATTTTTACGTTTTCTTCACACAATCTCCACTCACCAGCTCTTGCTAGCATTTCAAACTCACTCAGACCCTCTGACAATTGGGCCTTCATTGAGATGGCATCTGGTAAAGAGAAGTTGCGTCTGCTCTTGTTGCGGAATGTGCCCACAGAGATATCTTTATCCATGTCAGGCTGCTGCATATCCTCAGTATCATCAATATCCCAAAACCTCAAGCTACTCCCAAACTGGAAGCTGAAACATTAACGAAAACAGTGCAGAAAAATATATTGGAACTGAAAAATAGTCAGCCTCATTTAATGTTTTGAAACAGTAGTAAGTGGGTGTGTCCGTCAACATGAAAGCGAACATGAGGGAGTGAGTGTGTGAGAGAGAGAGAGACTCAGAGAAAGAGAGAGAGAGAGAGAGAGAGAGAGAGAGAGAGAGAGAGAGAGAGAGAGAGAGAGAGAGAGAGAGAGAGAGAGAGAGAGAGGGAGGGAGGGAGGGAGAGAGAGAGAGAGAGAGAGAGAGAGAGAGAGAGAGAGAAGATCTCAATAAACACTGAAGTTTACAGTCCTTTTTAATCTATTTTACGAGAATAAAATCTCAGTGGAAAATGCATGCCACTTCATATTTTTCAGACAACATACTCACCTAAATATCAGACTCCAAATGCTGGTGTCGACTTCTTCAGCAGTGACTTCTTCATCTTCCATAGGTTCGGCATTGCCTTCTGGCTCTTTTGGTGACTCGTCAAGATTATCTGAAGTCATAGGCTTTCCCTCATTGTCCGCTTCCAAAACCAACTGTTCCTTTTCCTTGTTATCAGAACCTCCACCACCAGTATCTTCAGCAGCCATTTCCTCAGAGTTTTCACTTTCACCCATGGCATTTTGAACCAAATCTTCAACAACACTCTTGTTTAATCCGAAAGGATCATGGTCACCATCCCCTTCAGCATCTTCAAGCTCTGAAAGTTCACTTACAACAGTCTTTTTAAGAGAGTCTCCTGCTTCTCCAGTCTCCGCTGAACTTTCTTCGACTTCATCCAGGTCTGTACTGGGATCTTCCAAACCTAGCTCCTCAGCAAGTGTGGACTGGAAGAACATCTGCATGTCAGAGTACTCCTTCTTGTACGAACTGATGATGGTGTAGTTCTCAGGCACATTACGTGCAATCTCTACTCTCAGAATTCCATCGCGGGGCCATGAGCTTTGAACATGCTCTAAACAGTTCATTGGAGCTTTCGCAAAGACAGCATGTATGTACACTAGAATGGTCAACACCGACAGAGCCTGTGGAGGAAAATGAGCAAGTAGTCAGAATACCGTTCCAGAAAAGGGTTGTGTGTTCTTTATAATCAATAAAGTATGGCATCACTCAACACAATCAGCATTATTTCTATGGCAGAGCACCTGATCTCAAATCAACATTTCATACACCAAATAAAACATTCCAGGAAGAATAAAGTTCAGAACAAAAACATAATTTATGTTGACCAACTTTGTCAACTAACCGTACTTGCCACAGCATGGAAAATGCACCTGTTCACTTCTAAAACACTATTTATAAATATAACAGTAAAAAATCTGTGACTTTTCTATTTTTACTTTCATATCAAAAGAAAATGAAAATTATACATACACAGCAGGAACACAACATACCTTTTAAATCCATCATCACACCTCCAAGACCGAAAAAACCCCTCAGAAATGTATCATATACATAATACCCGTTTATAAAATCAACAACTATTTAGACCCAAATTTATAATGCAAAAGTGCTTATATGCGAGGAATCGTGGGGAAATCAGTCACTCATCAAAATAAGGAAAACAAAGTAAGCGGCATTTTTTTTTGCACGTTTGGTCATTTTGATAAAATTTTGGTTTTTCGGTTCAACACCTTTTATATCCTTGTTAAAACACCTTACTGTGTGGATTTTACTGAAAAACATTGATCAAAGACACCAAAAAAATGTAAAATTACAGTTTCCAAGGACTCAAGCATTGAAAGTCATCAAACTTTGAAGGCCATTTTCTCAATAATTTTACCTCAGATACCACATGATCCCCACCTCATTCAATCTTAAATATCTTGACTTTTAATCAAGATAAATGGGTATTTTTTCATCAAAAGCAAGAGAAACGAACAAACTTTTAACTAATAACTCCACATGCTAAAAAACTGATGAGCACCTGATTCCACCGCGCCGCGACACATGTTGAAAATCATAAAATGCATATTCAACATGAAAAAAACATTTTCTATTTAAAAGAGCATGTCTAAATACTTTGAGAAAGACTTTGAAATTTCCAAAATACCCCCCCTCCCCCAGGAGAAACCCCACTGATGATACACATTTATTTTCCATATTATTAAATAAATTTTGGAACCAATATACAGTGACAGGTAAACATATTCTGTAGAACCGTTAACTTTGATGAAAGATCAAAAAAGGAACATGAAGAGAATGAGAAAACTGATTTTTGCTGTATAGCATTCTCTCAAATCTCAAATACCTTGAGTAAAAGAGCAAACTCCAGAACCCTCCGGATGGGCCTTGGGAAAGCTCTAGCGTATGTGATAGTGATGCGGTAGAACAAGGCATGGAACAGTCTGTTCTGGAAGTGAAAGAACGGGTTGTTGTCTCCACCACGAGCTCCGTTGTTGTTGTTGCGGGCTCTTGCACCACCCAAACCACCGATATTGTTGCCTTGGTTGTTCATGGTTTCTCTTCAAGGCACCTATCTGGAACATACAAGACAGATTTTGTTTTATTAATGGGTCAGTTGTTTCAAATGTGATTCACGTTACCTGTGCAATCTAACTCCAGTGTTCTGAATTAAAAGCAAGTTACGCTGGAGCTCAGTCTTCCATAGGGCCAATAAAACCATTGCAAATCGATTGTAAAAAAAAAATAAAATAAAACTTTTTAATGGCAAAATATCAAATTATGGTGAAATACTGGGGGACATACCCCCAGAAATTCCCGAAATTGTAAAAAATATGCGAAACAGCAATTAGGCCTATAGTAATATATATTATAGTTCGTATGGAAATTTTATGTGTGAGCATTTGAGGGGAGTTGGAGCTATAATTATAATTGTGATGCATCTGCATCTCATCTCTACTGATGTTCCACTCCCAAAAGGCTTGTACCTACGCCCCTCCCCATTAACATCCATGCTGGCCGCACATCCAACCTGTCCTGACCCTGCACACTCTAAGACACGATGTCTTATTAACACTTAACATACCTATGGCGCAATATTGCGCCGGCACCGACGATGCCTTTCTTACCTACCCGACACCGGTACACATTTTTACGACATCACCGGGTCACGTTGGTGGCAGGAAATTCAAGGGACGTTACTCTCAGTGCACTACAAATGGTTGGCGAAGCTTTGTGGGGTTTTTTCATGGCGATTTGTGAAGCTTTTCTGAATTCTAGGCTATTTTAGCCATGGAACAGGACCCTACCTATACATTAGCCAGTGACTCAGGATCAGAACTGTCAGGGATTAGTGAAGAAAACTCGCCAAGTCTTCAGAACGTAAGTTTGGGGGACAGAGAGAACGATTTCGATAGTGAAGGAAGTAGATCTAGTGATGAAGAGAATGAGGTCGCGTCAAATGAAATGAGGGGGTCACGGTCAAGGACGGGTAGACCTGGACCTGGACAGATAAGGGGGCGTGGCACTAATGAACAGCTGTTTCAGTGGGATGAGTATCCAGACGAGGACCCATTTGAGCAAAGTTGGCTCAAGGATTTTGATGTAGAAAGTGAAGGTATGAGTCAAGAGTTTTTAGAATTATCAGCTGGTGAGAAGGCAGTGGAATATTTCAAGTTGTTTTTCCCTGTTGAAGTCGTAGAGTCAATGGTGACAGAAACCAATAGATATGCGCACCAAGTATTGGATGGCCAAGGTGACACATACAGGAAAGATCAGTGGTTTGATACAACAGAGGATGAGATGAGAGCATTCATAGGGCTACAGATATGTATGGGGCTGTACCCCCAGTGTTCCATAGTGAATCAATGGAGTCCAACCTTCATATATGAAAACAAGTTCGGAGAAGTCATGGGCCGAAACAGATACCAATATCTGAATGGATTTCTTCATTTTTCTGATAATACTGGAAGAATAGCAAGAGGGCAACCAGGATATGATCCTATTTCCAAGGTGAAACCATTGATAGATGAAACCAAGAACCTGTACAAAAGCATTTACTCACCTGGAAGAGACATATGAGCCATTGCCAAAACGTGGGGAAAAACACACACATCTCACATTAGTGTGCATAAAATGTGATGCATTAGTATTTATTCCTCCAAAACGTATACACATGTCAAATATAGGATGTAGAACCTGCATTAGCAGTTTCAGACCCCTTGTCAGCTTTACAATCTTGAGTTTGTAAATTTTGTGCCAAAAATGTTCGTTTTTTAGTGATTCCTGGAGTGTCATTTTGAGCACACCAATGCAAACTTCCAAGAATGTCCAAAATTTAGTATTTTTGGGTGTGTTTTTTTTACGTGTGCTTTGATCCTATGCTATTTGTCATTGAGAAAGGTTAACTTGCTCAAGAAATCGGTTTATTTGTTTGCAAATAGACGAACAATTCGGATTACTTGTGTGTCTGTCGTGTCGTCACGGACTAGGTGTTTCAGAAAACACCATTATTTTTCAGTAGAATCACCGTAGCTGGTTAAATCTCTTTGCCTATCGTCGTTTATTCAATACTTCAAAAGCCGCAATGCGCGAAAGGAACATCGGGTTCTATGATTTCGGTCGGCCGTTTAACGTTCGCCGTTATTGTCGTCAATTTGCGACGTGCCGGAAGTCCGAATTTCGCCCACTTTTGTTTTGAACGGGTCATCAAAAGTGCCCGGATATAATTGTTTTCTTGAGTGACTTCCCCTTACCCGCGTCCCCAGAACAACGGAAGCAACGGGGGAAACAGAAAAACGAAAGTAGTCATTGCCTTCAGCGTCCGGTGACGCACAAGAATGTTGCGTTGAATGTGACGTACTGGGCTGTTTTGCGTGTTTTTAGGCTACTCTGTTGAATATTTTAGTAAAATTGCGGTGTTTACACTGGATTCCTGGAACAAGAGTGTGATGTGTGAACAAACTTCGAGAGATGGATCATTTCTGTGGTTATAGATTTAGCTTTTGTGCTCAGTGATGACGTTTGGGGTGTCGTCATGCAGCCGTACAAGACTGACTAACGTACAAGAAATTACATTGTCCTAAGAGCAAACATTTTTTAAGTAATGTGTGCTCTCTTTACTCAAACAAATAAACAAACTTGTCCTTGTTTATCTAACTCAAAAATACACATTTGTTCTTTGTTGGTATGATATATACCTTTTTCCAATACATTGTGTCATTATGTCATCATTGTTATGTACAAGTAATATTTTTCATAATTGCTAATATCAATAAGTTTTGAACATATATTTCATACATGCAAGATTCATTTAGAAGCAAAATACGCCTTTATTGATCTGTGTATCTCTTAGTGCAAATTTGGTCTTTGTAGGCATGATTTTACCTTTTCCCAGTATGTTTTGTCATCACTGTTATGTACGAGTACTGTTTGTCATAATTAGCCACATAATTGTGATCGTCCACTGTCTTTGATATGACCTGGTATCTGTTTCAAAGCAAAAGAAACCTCTCCTGTTTTTTTTAAAATTCTTAAAGTGCGCTTTTATCTCTGGAGGCAAGACTTTTGTCTTTTCCTGTACATTGTGTCATCATTGCTATGTACAAGTCATGTTTGTCATCACTGTTTACAAGTCAGCTCCATTGATTTTGTGCTTTTGCCTCATATTAGTTAAAAAATTGTTTTACACTTGTGTTTTTCTGGTACTGAGGCTTTGATAACTGTATTTGTACAGCCTTTCACTATTGTGATGTGTTGTCAATGATAATGTCCAATGTGCATCCTTTCTTGTACATAACAATGATGATATGTTCTGACCACTGCGTCATTGTTACAAAGCTTGCCATTCATATACCATTATGAATGGAGTTCATAGTGTACAAAGTGTTTGTTTACTAAACAAATGGAATTTAAAGTCTATAATTTGCCTTGCTGCTTATCTGTTTGTGTCATCACTGTTACATACAAAAAATACAGTAGTTGCCAAACCAATAGACCCATATCTCCAAAACCGTACATCTCCTTGCTCTGATACTCTAGGAATATGAGCACTAAATGTCAATATGTGACTGACAGAAAAGAGAGTCAAATTGGTAAGAAAAATTTTTTTGCACCACTGAGTCTCAAGAGAGTCTCACGTTTTGGCAATTGCTCATATAAGTATAGACGAAACCATGATCGCCTTCAAAGGTAGACATATTTCAAAACAATATCTGCCAGACAAACCCTATAAGTGGGGATTCAAACTGTTTACAGCAGTGGACCCCAAGTGTAATTATTGTTTTGAATATTCCTTCTACACAGGGAAAAATTACTATGAAACAGGACGTGAAGGTGTTGGAGAGGCCATAGTGAAGAAACTCATGACTGATTATCTCGGCAAAGGGCATGTCTTATTCACCGACAGTTTTTATACATCCCCTAAACTATTTTCTAAACTCATGGAAAATCAAACTGGTGCTTGTGGGACCTGTGTGGAGAATAGAAAAGAATTTCCTGCCATGCTGAAGAAAAAGAACTTGAAACTAAAAAAGAATGATGACCCCGTGTTCGCAAGATCAGGAAACCTTGTCGCCTGCAGTTGGCATGACACCAAGAGAGTGAATATATCCTTAGTACTGTCCATACCAACAACACATGCAACAAAAGAGTAAGATCAAGACATCATGAAGGAGGTTTTAGAGAGACCACCAAGCCAGTGATGGCAGAAGGATATAACCAGTCCATGGGTGGAGTAGATCATTTTAACCAGAAGATCGTGAACTACTTCTACCCATATCGTTGCCGAAAATGGTACCACCCTATATATAATTTGTAAAAGAGGTTGCTCTTGTCAATGGACTCACAATTTACAACAAGTGTAACACACCACACCTACTCTAACCCCCAGAATGTTTAGATTGCTAGTTGTTGAAGAACTTACCAAAGCCCAAAGAAAACAAAAACGTCAACAAAAAATCAATACGGAAATAGAGAAAAAAATATCGTGATCTCAACTCTGAGGATCGACTGTCTGTTGCTGCTTCAAACCACTTTCCAATGCAATATATGATAGTAGCAGGCCTAGATGCAAAGTTTGTGCAGCTGCAGGAGCCCAGAGAGTGCAAACTTCATACTACTGTGCTGGATGTGAAGTCCCACTTCCTGTTTTCGCCTCTTTCACACGACAAATGACTATGCGGCAGTAAGAAGAGCCACCCCAACACCCTCCAAGCCATCAAAGAGGGCAAGGCAGGGTGCAGAGCCACTGTAGAGACCCCTACCCACTACCAAAGGCAGCACGAAAGCAAAGTCAATAATTTTAGGTGAGCTACAAGCATGCAAAGTTCAGTGATGTTTTCTTTCTATTTTGAATTTTTTCCATGTTTTCGCATTATCAGCATGCATGTTTTCTGCTTTGTTTGGCCTAGATGTTGTGCTACTAACACTTTTTCCGGGTTGTATTTGCTTCTTCACTCATTTCTCTTCAACCTATCACAAAACTGAGTCAATTCCAGCACTTGAACATTTTTTATTACTTTTTTTTATAACGTACCCTTCATTCTTCTACTTACTTCATTAGTATTCAAAATGGCCGCCGTGATGTCATCCCCTAATTTGCATAATTGCCGGGATTTTGAACATTTCATTTAGTCATAAGTAACATGAGAAAATTTCATAGCATTTGGTCCGCTTGTTTTGTCTCAGGAATTTTTTAAAATCTGCAACCAATTTTTTGGCTATCTTTCTCTGAGGCTGCGGTATTTAGGGGCTATTCAGCGCACCAAACCGCGGTACTTTAAGTGTTAAATGCATGTGTTGGTGCGAAAGAAAGCTTTCAATTGGTCGCAAAAGATGTATGCAATAGGCTCTAATTAGGCTAGGTATGTTATGATCCATGGTGCAGGTTCGATTGATGGTTCTTGGAAAAGAGCCATTGTAGGAGAAAAATGCATGAAGCCACTTTAGCAGACAAGCTTCACCTGGCAAGCGACTTCATTGGGTTTAAGTTTGCCCTAATGCGGTTCTTGAATTCTGAGTTATTTTGTTGATTTAAATGAATAATATATCTCCCCCCCCCCCCCCAAGGATATCCATTGACCTACTTTCCTTGAATTCAATTTTTCAAATCTAAATTTATTGAATCCGAGTTTCACTGTATTCGGAGTGAGGATTCTGAGGCAACGCTTAAATAAAGTTTTAACTCTGATCCTGCGAAAAACGCCTTCTTATTGATCTATGACCTACTTACGTCGGCTGATAAGATGCTGAGAGCGAAAGTTACAACAAATCAAATTCCTATTCTAGAGCTCACACTTTTTACTAACAAAGTCGCTCAGCTATCACTTGAAAGGGACAAAAAATGTGATAGCCTCCAAATATTTTTTTCCATTCAGTTCGCTTTTTTTCCCCTCAGTTGCTCTCAAATTTCGCCTTCTGGTAGGGCAATGGTTTTCCAAACCATCAAACGTAATATATTGCATCAGGAAATAGCGTTTTGAGTAAAAACTGGCTCGTTTGAAAAGTGTGAAAAGGTGTTTGCTTTGAAAGATGGAGGTATATTCCTGAACATCCTTTCACATTCCTCAAGTGTTTAACTGAGTCAAAATGCTCATATTTCAAATTTCATTGGATGAACATCTTTACCAACGCTACATTTTTTATAATACCAATGCTTCGCATTTCGAAACAATGCAAAAAATTCCAGAGGCGCACAAAAACACAAGCAGATTGATGCATACACATAGCACAAAAGTGCAGACCCCGCAGGATATGCGGCGTTGTTAGCCAAGTGGAACGGTGCACCAAGTCAGGACAAGCTGGGAAAAGTCGCACCAGAATGCACTTTTATCGGTGTACACATTAATTCGGGACCCGAATTTTAAGGGTTAACGTCTATCCCACAGACAGTGTGTGCCTCTGCCTAGTGAAAGGTACCAAGTGATGCATTTTGAAGAATCCCGTGTTTTTACATTCAAAGCGAATCGTGAATCGCGTTCCGCAGGCAAGAGTGGCGATTCAGTTCCGTTCTCGTGTTCACGACCCAGCAGTACCACCTATTTCCCACTCTATCTTTCTCTCGTTCCCTCCTGCCAACTGGAGTATAATGTCATACATTTTGCTAACTTCCCCCTGCTTGCTCTCTTTCTCTCTCACACACACACTGCCGGAAAGTAAAGTGAGATGGGGAGCTTTGAAAGGAAGAATAGCGGACCGACTAGGCACCACGGCCAGGGGCACATAGTGAAAGTAGTTCCGACCGGTGGTTCAGTAAAGTACAATCCTCGGCCTACCAGTCATTTAATGAGATCTATTGATTCTATATATTATAATGATTATTATTGGTATATCTTGCAGAAGTGCAAGCCTTCTAGATCTACTTGCTGCCTTGGGAATCCCCTGCCTTGTCTACTTTTCACATCCTCAGTCTCAGAATGTCTGTTTCCAGTTTGTGGTCTTCAAAAATGTTTTCAAGCGATATAAACGCTTTAAATGCAATACTGACGAAACAAAACAACACATACACACACCGTGTTGAACAACTGGGTGGTACTCCTTTCGCAACACCAGCCTATCACCTATTCTGACTCCAAAGGTGGAGGGGTTTATGCTTTCTATCTTGGGTCAATTGGCCGACATTTTGGCTTTGAGAGAGAAATCCGGGTGTATGCTCTAATCCAAACAACATAAAAATGTTTAGCCAAAATTCTTTGAAAGCAAGAAAAAATTTTCCTTCAATATATAAATTTTATAATTGTGCTATATAAGAAGCGTTATAAACATATGTTTAGCTTTTTGCTAGATTTTACTGCCTAAAATCTTAATTTACAACTTTATTTAGAGATTATCAAAGGGACACTACTCTTACAGACTGAGTCATATCTGTCTGGACATTAAGAAAAGAAGAGATGTAAACATTCGCCTGGCGAACATAAACATTGAACGTCAAACAGCTTATGATCTGGTCATTTATAGATCTAGGTTCTAGTATAAACGCAGATTTCTGAAAAGAATACTTCGGTTATACAGCTTCATGTTTTTTAAATAAATATTCTGCCTGTTGAATACAGATGAAATGGATGTTCCTGACAAGACAGTATCATGCTCTTCTCTTGAGCACAGTGATCTTGATGTAGAAGACCTTGGTCTCTCTCCGACACCAACGCTGACAACTGCATGTGCTGGGACTGGTAGACCTAGCAAAAGAAATCCGAATGCTGATGTACTAGAAGATTGTGACGTCATACTAGAAAAGCCTGTTATAACATCGAACGACCCAACTTCAGGTGTTGATGAAAGAAAAAACAGAATGGATGCTGGTGAAAATATTGGTGGCAATGATGATAATGAGTTCAAGACTTCTAAGTCAAAGTCAAATTTAGTTGCAAAACAACAAGGGACAGAAATTATGGAAAATGTTGTGCAAGAAAATCAAGCTACAAGCAGAGACGGTACAAAGATACAGAATCCACCAACAGTTGTATGCCCACGCGTTAACTGTCCTGAAAAGATAGTAAGCTCTGCTTTTATTTTGGGAAGTGGTAACATGTCTGGCTATTCTCACCCCCTTGTTTTACCAGAAATGACTCTAGAGGGATCAGGGCTGAGGGTAGCGTCGGTAGTGAGCCTTTTTTGGGGGGCTGGCTCTATTTCTCAGAACGTTTGGGAAAATAAACACTCTATTTCTCCGAACGGTTTCCGTTCTTGAGATTTGTTGATAATAAGCGAATGGAGTGGCCCGTGTGTGAGCATGTGTGTGTGAGTGTGTGTAAATGTGTATGTGTGTAAGGTGGGAACAGGGGGGGGGGGGCGAGGAGGGATTTATTTTTTACCTGAAGGATTTTAGTTTCTGCTGGGTGACTAAATGCAAAATAGGTTACTGCCAAGGCCGAGCAGTTTTCTTGCAGTACCTTTTGAAGGTATTTTCAAATGAAGCATAGTCCAGAAACGTTGTCCCAACCACAACTGAAGTATCTGAATATTCAGACATAAAAAATCTCTAGATCTAGATCTAGCTCTAGAAATTGAATTTGATGCAAAAAATGCTTCTTCCCAGTCCTCGCAGAATGACAGAATGAAATGATGACGCCTAAATCTCGCAAATAACCCAAAAAATCTCGAGATCGGAAACTGTTCGACGAAAAATGTTTTTACATTGGCTGTCGTTATTCTCAAATCTCACCTGGGGTGAAAATAAAAATATAATTAATTCCGGGATGAGAATAATATCCCACTTTATTCTCACCCAGGGTGAGAATAATATTACAGTAGTCTTCGCCTAAGATCCCGGTGCTCGGGAGCAAGGAAATCATGCGGGATCTTAGGCGAACCGGGATCTTAACTGATGAACCCAGGGAAGAATCTATTATTGTGACCCATGCTAAGGCCCACAATCGGTAAAATGGTCTCCCTCCACTCTAAAATGAACAGACGTGACCTCTCGGTGGGTTTATGACACATGGCGAGCAAAGAGTGGTTAACATTGATGTCCTATCACAGTGCATAGAGGCATGAGGTGTGCCATTTTCACTTATTATCCTATCATGAGTCTCAAGATCTACGCCCAGTTGCCCCTCCCCTTTGCCTGTCGAAAATATAGCTTTCCATCTCTGACCGAGTCCCCCTCACCCCATACCGCCTTTGTCGTTTCACACCATTACGTTGTGACCACACCAATTAAAATTCAGTCTGTCTCGCAAATTCGAGAGTAGAGACAACTGCTACAATGGTCAGGGAAGAGTTCACAGTTCAATGTGATCCCGCCTGTAGGCCCTACCCACACAGCGAGTGATGTAAGTTTCGAAAGAGAGCTCAGGTGTGAGTGCAATGTGTGGAGAAAACAAATGTGTCGGTCAGTTCACACCTCGGTGTGATCCCGTCTGGGGTAAACATTGTTTCGCTGCATCGAGTTTTACAACGTGTGTATATAATATGATCACATTCACGATAGTGGCTGATTTTTTACTCGACGGACAGTTTATTGATCTCAACTTTTCACTCTTGGTTGATCGGTTGTGCCCGCCCTGGTTTTTGTTCCTCAAATTATGATCTGAAATGCGGAATCTAAGCGGAATGTAGACCTTCAGAGTGAATCAGAGCGGGATCTCACTTAGGGGTGACTTTTGTATAGTAAAAATTCTGTTTCCTTAAAACAGCGGGATTTTAAGCGAACTGGGATCGTAAGCGGTGGAATCTTAGGCAGAGACTACTGTATATTGTTATTCTCACCCCGGGTGAGAATAAAAGGAATCTTCTCACCCGGTCTGAGAATGCAATGGATTTTTAGGTCTACCTGGGTGTTAAGAACAGATGATAGAAAATAATTTATGAATTGCAAGAGACCTGCCCCAGAGTGCTGGCCAATTTTTCTAGGCTCCCGCGGGATTGTTTCATTTAAAAAAATATTGAGTTGAGAGTATGCACGCACCTTCACCAAAACCCGAGACAAGTGTAAATATATTCTCAATTCAGAAAGGAATTCATTTGCCACAGTAGTATGTTTTTAAAAATAGTAGACTCAAGAACTGAAAGCTGTTTAATGAAATAATGTTAGACTAGTAATAGTTTGTCATTGTAATGTTAGAATTGACATTTGTTTACAACACAGAAAAAATGTTTAATTCTTATCCCTAGCAGAACCCACGATTATTTTTAAGGAACGCAGTGCCTTGACCCTAGGCTTATTTTTTTCTTCATTTTGATTGGTTAAACCATTCAAGAGTAAAATGTTCCATTACAGAACCAATAAATTAAAACTGTAGCAACAAAAGGTGACGCTATTTAGTCAAAAGATAAGGTTTTCCCCCGAATAGACAATAGGCCTAGTCACCTCCCGGGCTCGAGAGCTTGCCTGCTCGTTGGCGATTTTAGTCGCCTCACGCGCTCAGCGTAGTGAGAGAGGGAGACGAGTTTTGTCGCCTGGAGCGCTCAGTGACAGGGGTCCTATGATGCCCGAAACGGAATTTTGGGGTGAGAATAGTAGGCTGTCGTTATTCTCACCCAGGGTGAGAATAGTATCAATTTTATTCTCTCCCCGGGTGAGAATAATATCCAGTTTATCCTCCCCCAGGGTGAGAATAATCACTCCATTTTACATTATTATTATTCATTCCCAACCACATGCAGTAAGCCACCAAGGGCCTAGGTGATTTTATCGGGCCTGCGAGAGGTCAGGGGGAAGTCCTCACCTCATGCCCACTTTGTATGGCCTCTTGGTACTAGGCCTAGATCTTGTTACAAGTCAGGGATGAAATATGTTAATGTTACAGTATTCCGTAAATTGTTTTTGAAGTCTGAAAGATTCTAACATTGATAGATCTAGTAAAAATAAAGAAAAGGGTTGCACTGTGGTCATCGATCAAAATTTTATTTCATATTTAAATCATACATTTTATTATGAGCCTTTTGTTTTCACTCAGTGTAATTTTATGCATGGTTGTTAAATATTATCCATTTCAGGTTATTTGTTTGGACTTGAGTGAAGAAATGGGTTCCACGACTTTTAGTTCAAGAGCAGGGTAAGGAACTTTATTATCACTAGTATTATATTTCTTATAATGAGGCTTTTACTTTTGTTGCCTCCCAAAATTATGTATGTCAAAATTTTTATTTCAAATTAACCCTAATGAAGTGGCTAGCCGTACTTAACTAGCCTGACAGTCTAGCCGTCCTTAAGTACGACTAGCTTAGCCGTAAAGCTGTACGGCTAGCCTGCCAGTCTATTGTTAGATCTAGGTTAGGCCCTATTGACTACAACCTGTTGAGTACACAGGTCTCATTAGAACTAGTAATTATTCAGGTTTAACATACATGCATGTCAGTAAGGCACCTTTTGGTTTTGTCTGAAAAACAAATACTTTAGGTATTGCAAACTAAAATTTTATTTGCAATTCAGCCATCATTATTAAGTACAGTTAGCATGCCTGTCTAGCCGTACTTATTTTAAGCCCTATTCCTATTAGGAACCACAGGTCTCATTAATAATTACGCCATAAATAATAATTCAGGTTTAATTATTAAATTAATAAATAATTATTCAGGTTTAAAATACTTGCACTGTCAGTAAGGCACCTTTTGTTTTCGTCTCATACAAATACTTTAGGTATTGCAAACTAAAAATTTATTTACAATTCAGTAGGCCTATTTTTTTGCTGTTTGTCAGTCTAGCCATCATTATTAAGTACGGCTAGCCAGCCGTCTTGCCGTCATTAGGCATGGCTAGCCTGCCTGTCCATACTTAAGTACGACTAGTCTAGCCGCCATTAAGTACGGCTAGCCTCTTCCTAACCCTTAAGTTATATTGGAGGTATTTACTTAGTAATAATAGACAATACTTGGATGAAAACAGACAGAAATTTAGAAAACTATGAGTGTGCTCTGTGGTGGTATAGTATTCATAGTTGTTTTTTTTGTTGACAGATTTGTTTTTTTAATCAGTTTAAATACACAGCAAGTGTTTTGTTTCTTTTAATTCAGCACTCTTACTATTATTTTATAGTAATGTGCGTAGAGATTGTGCTTATTGTTTTGTTTAAAATATTTCAATTGGGTGTAGTTGAGGTTCAAATTAGGAAGTTTATGCTTCCCAGGAAGCTGGAAATGTTTCTGAGTGTTCTAGAGTCTCGTCTGCTGGGGTAATGATAATAAATAACATAGATTGTAAAATGCATAGAGCTTGCTGTTAAATTATTTCTATTATCATTTTTAAGACAAAATGGAATTTTCGCTTTTGTCTGGTGGCCCATTTTTTAACGGGGTGAAAATTTGGGACCCCTATTTTTAGCAGAAATTCTTGATGGAGATACATATATCATAGCCCATTTCTGAAACTCCTACTTCTTTTCTCTCTACTGCTGTTTTTGTCTATTAGATCTGAATTTCTTTTTCCTAGCACTAAATGAGTGTTATTGTCAAATTAAAAAAAAAATCTGAGGCTGATGTTGAGTCAGTGATATAAGATTATGTTGGTTGCTGTAGACAGGCTACTGAATGGTTACATGTTGATTTCTTTTATACTGTCACCAGCTTTGTAATGGGACTTGTTTTGGGTTGTTGTTGGTTTTTTTGTTTGTTTGTTTGTTTGTTGTTGTTTTTTTCTTGTTTTTTTGGGTGGTGGTGCTTCCAACAGGTAAATGGGGTTTTGATTGCATGTCCACCTGTCTTAGGGGTCATGAGGACAGGGTTTTGATATTTGTTGCTTTTATCAGTTCAGTTACATTTTATGTTGATGTTTGCTTGTATAATTAATGACTTATGATAAAAAACTTGTCTCTTTAGAACTTACTCATAAAAAATTCTGTAGTATGTGATCTGTACAATTCCTCCCACTATCCTTCTCAGTATCCTACCAGTTTTAAAATTAATTTCTAACACAATAAACATTTTTTCTGTATTTCCTCAGAGATAAATTTTCTAGTCTTGAGCTGGCTCGGCGTTCTATCAGAATGTTTGTCATGCATAAAAGCCAGATGAATCCAAACCATGAGTTCTCTCTTCTGGTGTTTCATGATGACTCAACTATGGTAAGTTCAGTATAGTTTTTATATATATAAGACTTATAATTATCATGTTTATTCATTGTCGCCACTACATAAATTTGTAATTCAGCTTCAAATTTAGCTTCCAGTGTGAAATTGATTAATTTTGTTACCCTGATTTTGAAAATGCTATTATGTAAAGGCTTTGGTTGATATTCTTTTTTTGTTTTCTATTTTACATCTGAAATTGAATTTTTTTTTTTATTGCCTGGAGAAACTTCAAGCTACCTCAGCCTGCCGGTAAAATATCTGTCATTGACAGATATTAGTATGATGACCAGAAGGCTGCTGTTTGGCCTCTATGATGAGGACTTGCTCAAACCTACGTTGCAGGTCTGAGGTAGCCCAAGAACTGACAGGCATGGGCCCTAACAAATATTTGTCCATAGGATCTTTGACTCATGTAGCCAAGTTTCTGATCCGCCAGAAATTTCCAATTTGAATTATTGTAAAGTTCAGCTGCAGCTGTACATGCAAGTAGTTGCACTTTTCCCCCCCTTGTGTCTGGCAATCACACAAGACATATTTAGATGATGCAAATGCAAGACTGGCCACATTGGATTGTCTTTAGTTTAGTTTACAGTCTACCACTAGTCAAGATGGCAGTTGGTGCTATTTAACAGAGGATATTTACACTCTGTTACTGCCAACTTTACACTCCTACCAAGGTAGGTAGTATTAAGGGGTTTTGACTGTGCATTGAAAATGACGTATCACTCGTCTGTTTCACATTGTGCACTCCTGGAAAGTCTTGTGGAGAGCCTAATGTTGCCTGTTTTAGATGGATGAAACATTTCAAGATTAAAGAAAGCTTCTTGCAAGACTGAAATACAGGTTGATTTTTTTTTTAAACTATGCAACTTTTTTTCTGAATATCTCGCACAAAATTTGTACTAGATCTAGAATGTTGTAATTTGGCAAAAAATTAATTTAAAAGGAATTAGTTAGACATAAAATTCCCAAAGAATAAACTTATTTTGGAAAATGGAAAGGGCTTTTATAAAAACCACCTATAAATGCAAAATGCGCCAATTTAAAAAATCTTGTAAGGAAAGTCATGAAATGATTGGTTTCTTTTTTTTTCTTTTGTTCTCTTTTAATAATCTAATCTCTCCATCCCTGTAACCTTTAACTCATTCGCTACGTATTATTTTCGGCTTGTAGACGAATTTCTTTCGGGAGGGCGAAATGAGATGATGACTAGTGCGCAGTTCACAGGTCTTGGGGGCCATAAATTCAAATAAATATCAACATATTATATACCAACATTTTCAGTATGGTTTGTAGAATACATCTGTAATGTTTATTTGAGTATTTTTCAACTTTGGTTCCTGTAAGAGGCGATTATGCAACACAATTGTTATTGGTTGCGGATAAAATTTGAAAACAAAAAATTTATAATCTCAGATGAAACTCAAAAAATATGTTTGCACCTAGTCAAATTATACATCAAAATAACCATAACTGTATATAGAACAGGAGAATATTGAAAAATGAGCAGTTATTTACATATATTCCATAATATTTGTACATTTGGATCGTAACCTCCGATATTGAAAAAAATAATTTTTTAAAATAATTTTGAAAAAAGGATCCCAAACAGAAAAAAAACACTCGTATCTTATATGGAATTATTCAGAATTGCATTTGGAATAAACCTATACATGTCTTGGGTGGTACTTTTTGAGTAAATTCACCAAAAAGTAGTGATTTTGGGGAGAAAAAAAAATATTTTGACTATTTAGATCTAGGCCTAGATCTAGCACTGAAAAATATTGATTTCTCAATTACAGTGCACTGGCAATTTGAGTCCAGTAGTATCAATATTATAAGAAGAGTCCTACACTTCTTTAGTGAGCAAAATAATTATACATTTTGTTGTGTAAAAGTACAAAGACTGGTGTCTGGCTATAATTTGGGCTTCACGATAAAACAATGTCGCATAAACTTCGAAATCCTGCTTCAAAACTGAATCAAAACTTCAGATTTTCGGTGGAAACACTTGACCCGGAAGTCAACTTTATATTATGACCTTTATTTTAACATGGATATGTGGATTGGAATAGAAACCAAGCTAAAATTGAACGTCAGTTCTCAAGCCGCCGGGGTCGGCTTTGCGTACTAACGGAACTCTAGCCGCGCCGCCCCCCACGGCTCGGCGTAGCGAATGAGTTAAACAATATTTCTTTTCTTCTACAGAGTTAAAAAATATATTTTTAAATTCTGGAATTCCGAGAACCAATGGTCTGTATGTCCTCCTTTGGACTCGACACATTTGAAAGTGTCGTTCGTAATGTTCAGTGGTGGCGTAAAACAAGGATCCACTCAACCATGAGTACTCAAAGTCACACACACTGTTCACCTTACATTATGAAGCTGTTTCTAGAGACAAGTAGACAGAATTGATATAACCTAAAAGATGAATATGGGATTTGCCAAGGAACCAAATAAATATGTCATATAGGAAATGTTCACGCTTTTCAAAGGCTCGAGGAATGATGAACACATAGCTATCCTTTGATAGCTTCATGAACAGGAAAATGGAACAGCTGTAGATGAAGATATGCCTAGAGAATGGGGACAGTTGAGATGTAGGAAAGTCATTGCTGCAGGCATCGTCTACGGACAGACGTCTCATCCGGCTCGTCTACTGAATTCTGCACCCTGGTGACGTTTAAAGGGGTGTAAACAGTGTGTGTTTGACTTGAGGTGGTCATTTTGTCTAGGAATTTTTGGTTTTGATTCTCTACAGGTCCTAACTGATGGACCATTTCCACCCTTGACATCAAAGAAGGCTTTAAGGGCACTTTAACATTGTTTCCTTACCTTGTGCAAAACTTACGAAATGAGTTGGCGGTGAGGAAATGTTCAATACAAAAAGCTCTCTGCTCTTTTCTTATCTTTACCATGATCTCAGTAGGCAAAGGAAACTTAAGAAAAACTATCTGCAAACTTCTCTTGGCCTGTTAGACTGCTGTAGTTTGCAATATGGCGCTATCGTTGGGATTTTTAGTTTAATGCCAAATGCAAACTAGTGCGTCATGCTACAAAAATGGGGACATAGCTGAAAATGGGTTGGTTTTTTTACGCACTATGTTGAGCAAAACTATTTGGTGGATTTATCTAAAATGAATATTAGACAAATTCCTTTTGACTTCCAAATGTTCTGTACAAATTTGAAAGGCAACACTTCTGTGTGAAGGAAAATATTAACAAAAAAAGTTGTACAGTTTTTTTATGGGGATCACCCTGAGTTTTTCTTTACTTTGCACTTTTTGGAATTGATGTGTTTTAGAGGGGGAAAACAGGATGACTCTTGAGGGTTCCTGAAAGATAAAGATGATGAGTTTTGACAACTAATCTTGCTAAAATCTTGAAAGCGATGTGAAAATGATATGGGTTTTTGAATGAGGAATTTTGTGCTGAAAATAAAGGAAGGAATTAAAACAGAAGTGACTATAATTTTCAATGAGAGTTGTTTGTCTAAATTACTTGGATTCAGAAATTGGTGTCAGTTTTACAACAGTTTAGAAACATAAAAGTGCGATATTTTGTTGCTGTCACCGTGAATTAATAAATATTGAAGAATATTCTTTGATGGAGAAACAGTTTCTTATTAGAAAATAAAGTTTCAGTTTTCTGTGCTTCTTTTATTATCTTTTGCAGATTCATAACTTAACAAAGAGAGCGAAAGATGTTTTGAACACCCTGGATGAAATTGATATGGCTACAAAGCTTTCAGAGCCATTAGACTTGTCGCACATGTTTCAAACAGTGTAAGTAAAATGATGTGTACATAAATGTTCACAGGATAAAAAACGTTAAGCTTAAAATATAAAATTAATTTAGTGGGTAATATTTTAAGGAATAATAATTTCTTTTGCAATTTCTTTAAGGTCGAGGATTAGAAATTTGCCAATTATGTTTATTAGTGATGAAATCTTTATTTGAGCTTATAACTGAAGGCTGGATTGGAGCATTGTATAAGCATGCTTTGTTTATCTTAGAACAGGATCTAGTCTGTACATAATGAGCACTCTGGTTACAATCTCTTTGTATTGAGTATCGATATTACAAGAGGTTTTGGTGATATTGTCTACACCTCCTTTTGGAGTGGTCATGGTAATGATTTTATTCTTCCTACTTGAGATGCTCTGGTATTTTGGCTTGATTAAGTCCTTCTTCAGTAGCTAGCAGGGTCTATAACTTCTCTTCCTCCTTGGATGTTACAGGTCATCACCAGTTTATGATGAACAAGCTATAATTATCATTATTATTATTAGTTCTTTTGCTCGTCCCACTCACATGGATTTGAGCACTGTATAAGCTTGTGTTGTGTTTTGTTGAACAAGATCCAGTCTAGCTATATAAATAGTGAGCGCTTGTGTCATAGACTTTTGATAATGAGTGTCGATATTTCTAGAAAAGGTTTTGGCAATATTATCTGCACCACTTTCTGGAGTGATCTTGATAATGTTGTACGCCTTCCACGTTGAGATACCCTGGTCTTTTCAAAAATGATGTTGGTTTACTGCAGTTCTTCAGCATATTCTGTGCACACCTGACGCAAAGTGCATTGAATATCAGTGGGCAGATATTCACATGTTAATGCTAGCCTAAGTATTTTTGTAACCTAGCAGCAATACAAAAGTTTCCTTTTATGCTTTTTATGAGACAAAAAAAATATAAGAAGCTATTGTAGAAGCTGTGACAAAGATTTATTGAAGCAATACTTTCTATGCTGAGTTACTTCGATACTTCTTTTAGAACTGCTCTCAAACGTCTGGCTTTTTTATACCATAACAAGTATTTTTAAACTGACTTCTCTTGTTTGTCTTCAGTAAGGACAATGTCGACCTTCCAGAAGTCATCGGAGATCCTCAAGTCATACCACCTCCTTATGTTGTGAGGGTCTTACTGGTCTATGGCCGGTCTCAAAGTGTTCCAGTCGGTGCTGGTTCTGATGTAAGCACTTTCTGGTTCATTATTTCTCATGTTGGTTTTTACTTTATTACTGGTTGAAGAAGGTAATCTATACTTCCTTTTGTCTTTTCCAACATTTGCTTAGGGAAATATTCGCAGCACTCAGTATTGCATGATGCAAAGAAATCTGCAGTTAAATGATATAGACTTATTTCATTGTTAATGCCCTTTTCAGTGCCTGGGTTAATACAGCTTGCATAACGGGAGGAGCTACCCTTGAGGATCATTTTCTATGTTTGTTGCCCGATATCAAATCTAAGTACACATATAAGTTAGGCATAGTAAAATTTCTTGATACACAATTTTATTTTGGCAGAGCTACAGCGGTTGCTATGGAAACGGCCACCCTCTTGAAAATAAACAATGAATTTCAAATCTGTAAGGCTTTCTTATTTACTGACCAAATTTAGTGAGAGTATACCTGAACCAGACCCTCTCAGAGTAACAGGAAGTGTTTTTCAATTTAAAAAAAAAAAAAAAGGATATATAAGAATTTTCCCAAAGTATAAAAACCTTTTTCTAAATTTATTTTGCGTAAACGCTTGCCAATGGAAAAGTGGGTTTTTTTTCGCAAACATCTGTCTGTTACATTGATGGAAGCCTTGCCATCCATGTTTACTGAAAGTTTCATGTCTAAAGGATAAAAACTAAGGAAGGAGTAGGGAAAAAAACTGAAAAAAATTACATTTTGCGAAAAATGACAATTATTGTGAAAATTCACTATATTAACCCATCCTCATATTTTCAAGGGCAATTTACGAGGAGTATAAAGACATTCTCAATTGTTTCCATGCTATTTTTAGACAAAAAACTGGTTGATCTTAAAAAATCAGCCAACATAAAATGTGCATAGCCTGACCCAAAATCTGCAAAATCAAGGGTCGTTCCTCCCCTGAACACTTTATTCCTGCTCTATATTCCTGATAATTTCTCCTTATACCTGCATGATAAAAGAACCTTTTGTATGAGTTAACCATGCAGAAACAACTTGGTGTACACTATTTTTCTTGTAGTATTTTCATGGTGTGAGCAATGCTGTACAAAGCAACTCCAGTTGCCACCCAGCAATGGATTTGAGCTGCCAAATTGAAGCAAAAAGCTAAGTTGGCAGAATGGTTACAATTCTTTTTCAAGATTACGAAAATATAATCATAACACCCATGATTCTTATGTTTGAAAATTTATTTGTCACTCTCACCCTCCCAGTGTATAAGGAAGAAAAACAATCAGGCTTTGACTGTTTACATCACCAGGTGACGTACAACTGCCATACTTTAACACCCTTTCTTCTGTGCCCAGAGTTCTAGTGGTTGCCCAGTGCCACTTTGTCTTTAGAAAAGCATTAGCTGTGGCAGTGCCAGGAGAAAAGCAAACACTAGTTTAACAACGTGTTAAAAATTTCCTGTGCTTTGCATTGTGGATGAAGGCCAATGAGCCATTATGAGACAATAAATAAAACCGGAAGATTGTTTGAAACAATCAGCCTCAGTACTCAGCGTGGTGTGTAGTGATGCACGTTGGGGATCGAAGGCTTGTAGTGCGTCCTATGGGTGCCTTTTAGCCGGCAGCTAAAAACTACCCCCTACCACCACAAGCCGGCTGAGACCTCTTTCATCATGCCTTTGTTTACAACACATTCATCCTTGAACCTGCAACTGCTGTACTTGACACCCCAGGAAAAAAAGGCTACCCATGACAATATGTGTCATGACGTGGTTGAATCAGGCCCTCGTCAATTTTTGGGCATGTGGAGTTATTGGTATCATCTGAAAGCTGATTTGTTTGCCTTGCTTCCAATCAAATAAATATCCATCTATCTTGAATAGAACTCAAGCTGTTTGCGATTGAAGGAGGCGAGGTCGCCTGGTTTCAGTGGTGAAATTAGCGAGAAAATGGCCGTCAAAGTTTGGTAACTCCAATAGCTAAAGAGTCTTTGAAAACTGAAAAAGACATGTTTTATGTCATACAGGGTGATTAAAAAAACTATACAACTTGTTTTGTACATATCTTCCACTATACTAAAGTTTTGTGTTTTAGATTTGAACATAATATTTGCAAGGCAAAAGGAATTTGTCTGATATTCATTGTAGATAAGTCCATTGAATGGTTTTGCTCTACATGGCGCATTATAAAAACAACCCATTTTCAATCTTGCCCCAATTTTTGTAGCATGACGCACCAGTTCACATTAGGCCTATTACTAAAAGCTGCAACAATTACGCCATATTGCCAGCTACAGCTCTCAAACAAGTCAACAGAAGTCTGCAGATATTATTTTCTAAAATTTCGTTTGCCTGCTGAGATCATCGTTAAGTTTAGTGAAGAGCAGAGAGCTTTTTGTATTGAACATTACCTCTCCACAGACTCATTATCCCTGGCTGACATTTCGTAAGTTCTGCGCACGGAACGGAAAGAATGCTTAGGTGCCCTCAAGACCTTTGGTATCATGAGTAGAGAAGTTCCGTCAGTTTGGATCTATAGCGAATCAGAACTAAAAACGTCCTAAAAATGACCACTTCAGGTCAAACAGGCACCATGCGCAGCCCTTTTAATGTCACCAGGGTGCAGATTTCAGTAGTCGAGTCCCGTGAGACGTCTGTCCGTAGACGTTCTGCAGCTAGGACTTTCCTGCACTTCAACAGTCTGCATTCTCATGGCAGATCTTAACCTACGACTGTACCAATTTTCATCTTCACTAGGCCAAGATGACATGGATCAGAGCATTGCAATGTGTTCATAATTCCTTGATTGTCTTGAAAAGTGGGATCATTTCCTCAATGACATTTGGCTTAGTGCAAAGCCCATTTTCACCCTGCTGGATATGTTGACTCCAAAATTACTGTCTATTGGGCTCTACACTCCCTATTGCTTCTAGAAGCCACTTCATACTGAATATGTAAAGTGTATGTGGCTTTAAACACCCATGGGTTAGCAGGTCCTTGAGTTTGAGCGCCATTGAACATTTTGAATGACTCGTAAAAAATGTGTCGAGTCCAAAGGAAGGCATGTAGAGCACTGCTTTTAGGAATTCCAGAATGGAACTCTTAGTATTTTAAACTCTGTAAAGGAATTTAAATATTGTTTAAATGTTACAGGGATGGAAAATTAAATGGCAAAGAGAAAAAAAAAAAAAAAGTCTACCAATCTTTTCATGACTTCCTTTACAAGATTAAAAAAAATTGGTGAACTTTGCGTTTTAGGGTGCTTTTTTCTTTAAGCCATTTCCGTTATCAAAATAAGTTTCTTCTTCGTAAATTTTATGTCAAGCAAATTCCTTTTGAATGAATTATATCTCTTCCAAATTACAACATTCTAGAACAATTTTTGAGCGAGATATTCAGAAAAAAAGTTGTAAAGTTTTTTTGGATCACCCTGTATTATGAAAAATGTCGTATTTTGTGCCTTTAATCAATATTTTAAAGTAAAATTCACATAAAAATGTGTTTTTATATGGACATAAAGAGGTTGACCAAAAAATAAAAATTCTATAAAAATTTTCAAACTGGCGGAAAACTGCCTGTTTCTCTGATTTCTGTATTTTGACGAGCACCTGATTTCACCATGCTGCCTCACATATTATGAATTGTTATGCTAGATAACTAATTTTTATTAGTGGATTACTAAAACGTACTATGCTTGTGTGGATTAGCAGCCCTGGTCCTTAACGAAAGAAAGGGGAAATCGGAAAGCTAAAACTATCAAGACTTGACTGCTCGCTTTCTCTGTAGCCATACCGAGCTTCACTCATCTTGTCCACAGGTACAGAAAGAGTTAGAGTCCTCCCCCTACTTTTTTACCGATGTTTTGTACATTCATCAACCACCGTCAGAGGGAAACAAGTGTGAGGTAAGATCTGCCTGCTTTTTGTGGGATATGCTCAGGAGATAGTAGATGAACCGAGAACGTTTTAATAATAATAGTGATAACAGATAACTGCATTTGTGTGACACATATCCGCTCTCCCTGGCATACTCTATGATCATTATTACTATTATTACCCCCAGCAGACCATGGAACACTCGGAGACATTCTTGGTTTTCCAGGAAGCCTACAGTGTGCTGCAGATTACACGCATTAAAACGCTAACAAACTGACAAAATCTTTTGCTAAGATTTTATCTGATGTGTGGCTGCTTTGTTTAATGAAATGTTTGGGTGTTTATTTAGAAACTTTCTATGCCAAGCCACAATAACACAAGGTGTTTCAAAAACAATACACCAAAATCATCCCGTAATATTAAAAAAAATGAAAAAAATGGAAAACTCTAGCTTGGACACATCTATTGAACATACCTGGTACCTTTAAGTTTTTATTTCATGTTTTAAAAGTGCTCAGACAATGTGACCTCAACCGACAGTCTGACAACATCATGCCGATATGAGAGTTCCTCTCAAACGCGCTTCAGGGTGTCTTAGTCCACCTTGGTGATTGTAGCTGTTATTCGATCTTTCATGTCATCGATATCTGCTGGAAGTGGTGGAACATAAACTGAGAGGGGGCAAGGATATAGTCTTGTTAGTGATTGGGAGATTAAACATTCTACTTAGATTTTTTGAGTACCGTATTATCCTTTATTACATAGACAGTTGCTACAACTGTGGCAGTGACTCATTGCAAGAGTCTTCCTGACAGGGCGTCTCTCCCCATTATTCCTTCTTGTTCTTTAACCTTTTCTCGATCCTGTAAATCTGTTTTATTTCTTTCCCTGTGACCTGCTCTGCCCTCTCTCTCCATTCCGGTCTCCCC